AGACAGATACTATTTCTTGAAATCTGGAGAGGTAACTGCATTCATTATTCCAGTTTTGTAGATGGGGAAACTGAGGCCCAGTGAGTTTCCAATATTCACACTCCCACTGATGTGGCAGAGCCAAGAAGAAGAAAGTAGCCCAAGTGTTTCCAACTCTAGAACCCACAAGTGCCTGGTATATCTTGTGAAAGTAAGAGAGCATGTAGCAGCAGCTTGGTGAGGGGGATGGGGGCTCCTCCATTGTTCCAGCTCTTGCTCTAAGTGTGAACCAAGCAACTGTGGAGCAGTGTAGAGGTCCCCTGCCCCCATCCTGCCCCTCCTCTTCTGCCCAGACAGTGGCAAACCCAAATCACTTGCAGCCCTGAAGGGGTAACTGGCAGGGCCCACATGATGGCACATCCCTTAGTGGTCCTCAAATGTACCTGTTGGCAGAATCTGACAAGGCAACCTCATGCTTTCTAGGTACCTTGGCTTCCACCCTGCTTCTTTGTGTGAGTGTGAACAACTTCCTTGTGTTTGGTTGCGTGAACTCAATGGCTTCTCTGTTGCATTGGTTTAAGCAGGGAACCTCTAAATGATTGTCAGATGATTTGATGAAGTAATCTCCTGGGCTATGACTCTGTAGGATTTGGCTCCTAGAATAATTTTCTCCCCTGACTAGGAGACTTTCTTCCCTGTCCCCAATTCTGCTCAACAAACACTTTAGTATCTATTCTTCTCTCCATCTTCACCCAAGATGCTGTCCCCTCCTGTTGTCCTGTCCGTAGCTGCTAGTTATTTCAGGTCCCACACAAGCCCTCCTCCTCCAAGAGAGTTCTTAGACAACCTTGTATTACTATCTCCTCTGCCTAACTGCGGTGGACACTCTCCAGGCCACATCTTCTTGACGGATTCTCCGATTATCCCAGGCAGATACACAGACAGCCTCTTTCTCCTGACTTTCAGCCTCTTTACCATATCTTATCTGATCACCTCTACTCCTCTTGAAGTGTGAAGGGTGGAAGTGAATGAAATAAATGAAGGCCCCACTCTCTTCAGCCTTGGGGGAAAAATAGAACTGATTGCAGAAAGTTGATCCTTCATATCCACAGGGGCTTAATTCCAGGACCCCCCACAGATGACAAATTCCAGAGTACTCCAGTCCCTCCTGTAAAATTAAATACTATTTGCACATAACCCATGCATATTCTCCCTTCTATGTCAATCATCTATTTATTAACTACCATGCTTCATTCCATGCAAATATTATGTAAAAAGTTACTATACTCACTTCCAGGGAAGTAATAGTGAGAGAAAAGCCCGCATATGTTCAGAATAGATGCAATTTTGTCAGTCCCAGTCAACTCCAGAAATGCAGAACCTACAGACACCAAGCTGATAGCATTTACCCCCTTATTCCAAATTCTCTACTTCTAGACTTTTTAAAAAAACCATTGTAGTGTCTTGGCTTGAGGTCACCACTTGCCAGTGATCAGAGTTGGGGGGATGCCTTAGTTCACTGGGCATCTTCAGTGTATAACGTGTACAGAGTGGGGATACATTGCTGCTCTCTGGCACTCCCTGCTTTCCAATCATGGCAGGCTGATGATTTTTTTCTTAAATAACAGATGCTCCACCCAAGGGGTTTATGGCTAACAGGGAGGGTAAGTGGTTTAGCCACTCTCTTCTGAAAAGTGACTCAGAGTCCAAAGGCTGGGAATTCAGTCACTAAATAATCACATAAAATAGAACTTTGAATATCCCCAGCACCCAACAGATTTGAGAAACTGGATCGTGCTCAGGCTCCCCGTGCCTGTTTGAGAACTCACAAATCTGTTTTATTCTAGTTGTCACTATTACACAAATCTGCCTCCCCCATCTCCCCTTTCTTGTAGATATAATCAGGCCATTGTGAAGTAAGAGGAAAAACATTATCCCTCTTTCTCCATGCTTCCTCTAACATTTCTACCCGTATGTTAGAAAGTGGGACAATTCCACAATTCAGTTCATTTCTCCCTAAGTTTTGCACATTTGGGGTGCCATATTCTGGCTGACCTGAGGGGGTGGGGGGCATTTTTTTCACATGAAACATCAGACCACACAGAGAAGGCTCAGTCCCCTTGTAGTGAAGGAAATGGGAAGAGATATGAGACAATGAACTTCTCTGAGAGTTCTGGTGGGCAGAGAAGGCGTTGTTCCTGAGGGGCTGCTAAGATCACGTGCAGCAGTCTCTGAGATGGTGAGCAGCATGGACTCAGGGCATGAGCCAGGTAGATCTCAATGGCATGCCGAGGTTTCCCGGTGGGCAGCAGCAAACACCGCTCCCCCTTCTCCTGTTTACCTGATCCTCAGTGGCTCATGTAAAGATCGTAACAGGGACAGAAGCCTTTTTGCTATATTCATAAATTGGAATGAAAATTCCAATGAAAGCATAGTTCATAAAAGTGTTTTCAAATGGGTGGAGTAGACAATATAGCCACATATTCATGGAAGCAACCAGAAGGCACTTCCTTGGATCTCAGGCGTTGATTCCCCCTGAGAAAGGAAAATGCACAGAGTCCTTAATGCAGGAAAATGAACGGCAGAGGCTTTCTGCAGGGCTTAGAGTGATCAGAGAACTAGAAGAGCAGAGTGTGTGACTGACTCCAGAGAGATGGGGCAGGGAGCTGGGAAAAGAGGAGTAATGGGATAGAAGAGAGACTCTGGGGTCAATGACAAAGTTGGCACACATCCAATGAGTCTTTCTAACCAGAGGAGAAGCAGGTTTCTGACATAAATACTAACATTGACTTATTTGGGCTTTTGGTAAATAAATGATGTCTGTAATCCTCTGCACTTTCCTAATCTTCCATGTTTTTTCATTTTATTTTTAGTTTTGAGATAAAAATTTCTCTCTTCCCTTTCCTCCCTCCAGACCCTCCCGTATACCCCCTCTCCAACCTCCTACAAATTCATGACTGATTTTTTTCACTAATTTTTGTAGTCATATATATTATAATCATACGTATTTCTAAATATAACCTATTCATTCTGTGTAACTGTATGTCTGTTTCCAGGGTTGACCATTTGCCACTGGATTTTTTTTTTTGTTCTAAAAATGTATAAGAATGGGTTTGGGTTATTATTAGGTTTTAGAATACATCCCTAGCATGCACAAAGGCCTAAGTTTCATCTGCACACACAAACAGACACACAAACACACACACACGCACACACACACACACACACACACACACA